AGCCATTGATATGTTAGCAGCATCAGTGTAACTGTCCACAGGCCTGATCCCACTGTAATTTGGAAAGAGGATACCTGGGTCTAGTTAGAAATATGTGGAAGGAAATTTAGTTTTTGGAAAAGAGAGGTTAGAACTCAAAGCTCAGGAAAGGGAAGCATTTAGTCAGGCCTGAGGAAGGCAGAGAATAAAGGCAGTTGGAATTCCCTTGCTACTTCAGATCCTAGGGTAGGATTCTTTTACTCTGTGTCATGTCTACTTTTGGGCTTCCTCAAATTGCCATTTGTTTCTCTCAGGCTTCTTCTCATCCTTCTCATTTATTTTCAGCCCTTCATCCTTCTGAGGCCCTGGTACCTTACCAAAATTCCACTGGGATTGGGTCTGAAAAATGGCACCAGTCACTTGTCTACACAAAACAGTTATTAGGAGGTTAGAAAAAAAATTTTTTTAAAGATAGAGTCTTGCTCTGTTGCCCTGGCCAGAGTGCAGTGACATCATCATAGCTCACTGCAAACTCAAACTCCTGGGCTCAAGTGATCCTCGCAGTCTCCTAAGTAGCTGGGACTACAGGCGCGCCACCACACCCAGCTAATTTTTTCTATTTTTAGTAGAGATGGGATCTCGCTCTTGCTAAGGCTGGTCTCGAACTCCTGAGCCCAAGTGATCCTCCTACCTCAGTCTCCCAGAGTGACAAGATTACAGATGTGAGCCACTGTAACCGGCCTAGGAGTTTAAATTTTTTTAAAACTAAATTCCAACAAAACATTTTGGGAAAGAAGTGACAAATACTTACTTGACTTTTCAGAATTCCTATTGTTTCCCACATATATAATTCTCAAAAATAATAAATATATTTCAATCTGCTTAGCAATTACTACTGACTAGTAAAACATGCAGATAATTTATCAAAATCCATCAAACCCACAGGATATGAAGAATTGAGGAAACTAATTTCTTATTGGACTTGAAAAAATAATTTTAAAATAGGTAGAATATTTGCTATCTGTGGCCTGCTATTAGTGCGCTCCTCTAAAATGATTAATTACTATATGAAGAAAAATAAAAATGTAGAGAAGTAGACTTTTCTTTAACATATTAACTGCCATGAGAGTTGTATTTAACTCACTCTAGTTTTGACCCCAGGGCCACGTGAAGCATATATAAAATCTTACTTGTTGATGTTCTTATTGTTACAATTAATATTGACAGTTTAATTCTAAAAATGTGGATTAAATGAATAGAAGTCAATAAATTGTGTTTTTCTATTCATGTTTACCTTTAAATTACACTGGAAGTTTTTATTCTATTTTCGTAATAAAACACAGTGGCCCCAAGGAAAAGTTTCTGGTTGTTTTGTTTGGCAGTCAGTATGTTAAATCATTATTTTAGAATATGGGATATACTTTGCTCTGCTTATCTGATTTTCTCTAATTTATGCACCAGCCACACCCTCATAAATTAAGATTTCTATAGGAGTAAGTTACATTTGTATTGCTTTCTTGTGGACTAACCCAATGTATTCTTTTGTTCAAAGATGGGTGGAGCAAGACCCTAAGGAAATTCTTCATTCTGTCTATGAGTGTGTAGAGAAAACATGCGAGAAACTTGGACAGCTCAATATTGATATTTCCAACATAAAAGGTATTTTAATAGAATATTTTACACACATGGTATGGTTTTCTCAGTCAAATTCATTAATTCATTCTTCCAGCTCATAACTGAGTGCCTATTCAATGCCAAGCATTTCTGTGAGAACCTGAGAATACAACACTAAACAGGAAGATTAAATCCCTGTTCTCACGGAGCTTTTATTTTAGTGGGGGCGAGACAAACAATAAGAGCAGACAAATACAAGCTAATTTCAGATACTAAGAAGTTCCATGCACAAAATAAAACCCTAGTTTTATGGTAGAGTGTACCTAGAAGGGCTCACTTTAAATTGGGTGGCCAGGGAAGGGCCTCTCTGAGGGAGGTGACACTTTTACTGAGATCTCAAAGGCCAAAGGGGGCCAGCCATGCAACTATCAGGGGAAAGAGTGAGAGAAAGGAAGCAGCAAAGGAAGGCCCAGAGCTGAGAATGAGCTTGGGGCATTCCCAGGTGAGAAAGAAGGCCCGTATGTCAAATGCAGAGTAAAAGAAGGTTGAGTGGTGAGAGTGAGTGGGTAGGTTTCAGTAGGAGGTGAAATTGGGGAAGTGGGTAGGTCCTTGTCAGCCATAGGTACGAGTTTGGATGTTATTGTTAGTATCATAAAGAACCATGATAAGGTTTTAAGCAAGGTGGCAGGGGATGGTTTGCTGTTTAAGGACAACATCCTGACTGCTGTGTGGAGAGTGGATGGTGAAGGTACACATGTGGACACAGAGAGACCAGTATGGAGGCTGCTATGGAAGTCCTGAGAGAGGATGGTGACTTGATCAACAATGGTAGTAGTAGAGGTGGGGAGAAAGGGCTAGAACTTGCTGATGGATTGGATGTCAGGGTAGCAGACAGAGTAGTGAGGTGGGGGGAAGAGATGGGTCAAAGATGATGCTTGGGATTTTGCTGGAGCTCCTGGATAGATGGGGATGCCTTTTACTGAGGAGAGAAAGACTGGAGGAAGGAAGTGGGGACAGGTGTTCAGAATCCAAACACTTTACTTGTAAAATTTCCCTGAAATAATTCCTTGTGAGTGTTAGATTATTACAGATCTCTCTGCAAAAACCTAGTAGTTTTAATAGACTATCTATGTTTGGCTTTTCATCGTTCATACAGGGAGGGAAAAAAAATAACCCAGTCACCCAAGATTGATGTAATAGCATAAAGGGTGGAAGCATAACATGGAAATTACTATGTCTTTATAGCCTAAACTTTTCAAGTTCACCATTCAAGATCTGTTTTTTCTTCCTTAGATAGTTTGACTATAAATAAAGGGATCCATCAATTGGTGGTGGTGCCTTGATTCCCATCATCTTGACTTTGAGACTTACTGTCATCCCTGAGACTTTCCCATATTTGCACAAATAAAATCTCACTTAAAAAAGAAGACTACAGGCTGGGCACGGTGGCTCACGCCTGTAATCCTAGCACCCTGGGAGGCCGAGGCGGGTGGATCGCTCAAGGTCAGGAGTTCGAGACCAGCCTGAACAATAGTGAGACCCCATCTCTACTAAAAAATAGA